CCCAAACCCCCACACCCCCCTGTTTCAAGAGAAAAGGCCCCCCCCCCCCCCCCCCCCCCCTCCCCAACCCCTGACATGATTCCGCACCGCAGTGCACCCTGACCTTCCTTCGGCAATATATTTTGGCGTGGAAGAAGGAGACTGGGGTGGGCGAACTCTTTTTTGGCACCCGGACTCATCACTCCCCAACAGCATGCGCTCGACCCTCACGGCCTAACGAAAAATCATTACCGTCCGAATCCCGGCGCTCACCACTTCACACAAGCTCGGCCCCTCGTGCTTGATCCGTGTGGCTTCCGCCGTCGCCAGCCTCCGCCGCTCCAAGCGCCTCCTTCGCTCCCTGTTGGCCTCCCGCTTTCGTTGCGCCCGGGTGGCCGTTTCTTCTCGCCTGACAAAAAAAAAATGCAACCAACCATCGTCGGTCGCGGTTCTTCCGATGATTGATTGTGAGACCTACTTCCACCACCACATCAACAGCAGCAGCGGCGGCTGATGGTGGTGGTCCAGCTGGTAACCTGGTAGCGCCTTGTTTCTTCTCTGGGTTGTTGAGGTCGAATCTCTCCGGCGTGCGAGCACAAAAGCTACCAAAATTGGAAGCGAAAAACACATGTGTGTTCGAAATGCCAGTGCCAACGGGGAAGAGGCTGCTGCTGAAGAAACCCCTGTTGTCGCAGAAGAAAACACACCTGAGGGCAAGCACCGCAGGAGGAAAGCGGGGGATATCCCCCCAGGTATCCCCGGCCGGTGGAACAAAGACATTGTTACCGAAACTGTTCAGCCTGGCACCCAGCCAAGGACGGGACGAAAAAAAATACCAAAACAACTCATTCTGGGAGAGGTATTCGGGTCGTTCAGGAATGCCGCACCTTCCGTATAACAAGACGCTGCAAACGGCAAGGCGAGTTTCGTGCCCGGAGCAGTATCGAAAACGGTCTCTTGGAAACACGGCGTTGCCCTGCCTGTCCCCCAACTAACCCGCGTTTCGAGGCGGACACGTCCCTGAAGACCCTGGTGAACGCTCAGTTGTTGCAAGGGGCTACGAAGGTCCCGTCCCCTGCTTTGTTATCCTTCGATCGGGAGTTGCTTCCCCCGCTCTTTCCTATCCAATACCACCACACCAAGAAACCACCACCCAATCAAGAGCCTCGTCCGCGTGCTTTCACCGGCAACGCGGGCGGGCGGCAGGCAGCCTCTCGCACCCCCCACTCTCCCGCTTACCGCAGCAAGGACAGCTCCGCCCCCTCTAACGCGCACACGGCGCGGTTGCGAGACACCAGCGCTCCCACGGGCCTCCTGGCCTTCTCCGAAGCGGTGGCCTGTTTTCATCAAGTTTTGCGACGACGTCAAGAATAAATAAACATCTAGCCATCTCTTTCGCCGTCAAACAGACGCGTCCTGTAGAATGGTGTGTACCGCATTGTTTTCGCAAACGAAGACACAGAGCCTGCACATATGAACAAATTTGGTGAGAGATTTTTCTGCGCAACGTCGCGGTGTATTGGGAACGGAAAGCTAAGTGTCGTCGCACGGAACCGGCTGGTGACTTGGTGCATCAGGATAAACCATGGAGCTTAGGTTTTTCTGGCAATTGTCTGATGTTTCGAACAACCTTGTCGGCAATTCCATTCATTATAGCTAGCGTGTCTTGGGGGGTGGGTGGGCTAAGGTAAGCAACACGAGGGAGGAAGTCAGCTGCATCATGCATGGGCAGTCGTGGCATGGAACCTTTGCCCACATCCAGGGATGGATGTGAGGTGTGTGACGTAGCTCGAGTTGTGCGGCAGGCCGCGGTTCTCGTCTGATTCACAACACACGTACCGAGTTGCATGGCAGGCCGTGATTGCCGTCTGATTCACACACGCACCGTATCTGGCAGCCCCCCGATTCTCGTCTGATTCGCACACGCACCGAATTGTTCTCGTTGGATTTACACACACACACGTTTCAGCCGGGTAGCGCGGGCGATGCTATTAATATACACACGCACACGTTACACACCTACCTGTGCCTTGCTGAGGAAGCGAGCAGCGGCTGTGTTGTCCCGACGGAGGTCCGAGATGCGCGCCTCCAGGGCGGGGCAGAGCCTCAGCAAAGAGTTCGCGAAGTCTCCCGAGGAGGTAGGGATCGCGGCACTCTTTCCGCGAGCTTTCCTGCTCGGAGGAGAAGAAAATGTGAGTGGCAGGTGGACCGCAGACACCAGGCGACCGCCTCAAAACAACCACTCCTACACTAGTCCACCCGTCACTTTGGAGACACGTCAGATCGGCGACAAGAGCGTCGCTGCTGAAGATGAAGGGGCAGCCAATCCGCTGATACTATCGCTGTCTATTTTCCTTGATATCGATGTCACAGCAGTGCGCGGCTCTTTCGCAAGGAAACGGAGACCGAAAAATATCGCATCTTGCGAAGAGGAGGTGGATAACCCGTATTCGAGTAGTCAGATGCTGGCGTTCTGCGCATTCTCTTTGGGGCAAGACTGGTTCAACGAGATCATCTGTGCCCATCGGAATAAGCCGCTGGCGCCGGTACGGCCACACGCCTCCAAGCAGCATATTCGATACAGTGCAGATCCCCGTTTTGTATACGATGCCCCCCATCTCACGCTCGTCCGCGCTTTCTCACGCGCTGCCCGCTGTACCGGGGCAGCTACCCTTCCTACGAACTGATCCGGTACACGTCTATGTTCATGATTTGCATGTTTCTGGCGAAGGTAGAGCCAAATGTTCATATTTCGCCGCAGGTAAGTTCTGCTCACACCAGGAGAGAGAATCCCCTTCGCCGAAAGTATGCCTCCTTGCAAACGAACTAAAATAACTGTGTTTGGAGCCCCACTTCCGGCGATAGGCGCTTCTATTCAGGCCTCAGGCACAACCAATCACCACACCTTGTCCGGCTAACACCGTGCCCATCGGCGGTGGAGGGTTTCCAAGTATGACCAGGCTTGGGTGCCAGTCGGGGCCCGGCAGGGGGACTCGAGGGGTGACGAGGGGCGCGGTGAACCGAGCCACTATTACCATCTGCACGGACAGGGTCGCCGTGTGACGCGCTCTGCCGTTGTCCGAGGCTGTGGCCATCGAGAGCGTGTTCCGCAGAATCTGTTGTCCCCGGGACCATCACTCTCTCTTCCGTAGCGCTGATTGTGGTATTATCCCGGATGGCGGCAAGGCACGGCGTAGGTGGCAAGGCGTCCGCGTCCTGTGCCCTACCCCCTGAAGTTGAATATCAAAGACGGGTAATAGTGTTTCCAATTGTTTTTGAAGGCCAAAGGAGAGATGCAGGGATTCCCTTCGGAGTTTTAAAAAGTAGACCATCCCGAAAAAAAAAGCGTTGCACGAAGAGATCCTCCACCCCGTTTAAAAACCGCACAGGTAGCAGCATGGTTTTCAACGTTGTGAGCTTGGCGTGTTTTCTAGCGTGACAAGCTGAGGCCTGAAGTTCTTCGAGTGGTGGTCCGAATAACAAGAATCCGTGCGAAGATGAACTCTGGGGTCGAACGTCGTCACAAGAGAATTACACGTATACTACAAGCGGGCGTCCTTCCCGTGTAACCCCTTCCAAGCGTACGTGCGTCCCTCTTTCATCGTTGTGGTCCCAGCTGATGTCCCCAAAAAGGCAATTCCGAACGTGTGAAAGACGGAGTTTAGAAACACCCACACACCCTGGTCCATGCAATCGTACTACGCACCCCTGTGTACGGCGTCCTCGGTGAACCGATCATCGTCACATTTCATGATTCGTTCGATGTCTGTCTATCCACAATGCAACCGACCACGCAGCACGGGTTTCCCTACATCGATCGGCGATTGATTGCATACCAGTATCACAGCAGCAGGTTGTTTGCGGTTCGTCTACGGTACATCGTATTGCTTCATTTACCCTCAACTGCAACTACTCGGGGCGGAATCCACTCGCACCACCCGGTAGCTCACCGCATTCTTCCCCAACGTTTTGAGCGGAGATTGTCGCATCTGCCGCCACCACCGCCGTCACCTCCCCCGCCGCTATTTTCGCCCCTGTCATAGCTGGCTTCTGACTCGGCTCCTGAATCTCGACACAAGGAGGTTGTCTACTGCGCATTAGCGCCATAAAGGGGTCCATGTCCTCAGCAAAGCCATCACCGGTGGCAAGAGACCTCGGGCTCTCCACAACAACCGCCCGCCGCGCCTTTATCCGCGGCCAGCCGTCGCCGATTCCGACCGCGATAGCCGCGTGTGTGTGGGAGAAACGAGAAGATATAAGAGCAGAAAACGCTTTCGTTGTGTACATGCATGTGTACCAGATGTACAGGGCTATAGGTAAGCGTGCGAGAGCAGGGTTTGTATACTGTAGAGGCACACTATAGTCTACATACATGTACATCCTGTAACTTGATGTGCTACAAAATTGTGGTGTATCTGACGCCTCGTGTACATATATGAAGAAGTGGGTATTCATGACGAGAACCCATCAGAGGCACCGCGTGCATCGATGGCGACACAGACTATGCACAATACCTTACGTGATGGCAGAGTTTTGCCGCGAGCGGTACCCGGGGGCTTGGCCGTCGCTGGCCCGTCTCCGTCGACCAAAAGTTCCAACAGGTCGATCGGAGGCAAGAAGCTCCTACTCCTGTTCTTGAGTTCGCGGGAGGAACCCACCAAGGTTATCGTCATCGCAGTTCACAAGTAATGGACACCAGTACTATTGGCAGGCCTTCTCAGAGGCAGAATGCCGTTTGATATAGACGTGCATATGCCACGGTCACATGATAATCGTGATCTACGAAGATCTCAAAATCTACGAATAGATACGATGAAAATACCACATGACGCCGTTACTTCTTTCTCGGGTTTCCATCTGATACGAGGCATGCTTCCCACCCCAAGAAAACTAAAACTCTGTGATACCCGGCTTGTGATTGATCGCATGTAAGTAGTAATTGGCTGCACTGAAGCAATCATCATGTCTGACTTCTGAAACCAACCCCGGCGGCAAACAATGCCAAGCACGGAAAACAAAATTGACGTATGTACACCTCACCCTAAGTTGCACTACAGCTGTAATTTTTTTCCAGTCTTCGGCGGTCGTCACCCAAGCGATCCTCTACTCACCCCCCGCCCTTCCGCATCAGAGCGGTAACGCAGATGCAGCGCGCGTGTGAGTCTGCATGTACATTTGATTCAAGTATGGAGAGCGATCGCACTTTATCATTCATTTGATTCAAGTATGGACATACGGAAATTTCTACACTTTTCATCACAGTACGAAAGTTTCGGAAAGTTTAAGTTTTCTCTACTGCCTTTTTCGGGATGTCCTCTAGCGCTGCCTGAAACCAACCCCATTTGCAATCGGGGAAAAAGTTGACCGCGGGCGACGGTCGGCACGGCTGCCGGCCACCACACGGATATGTAGGTCCAACTTCGCCATCCATACCCCTTCACTGCTGTATCACCGTTAGTTTCAATTGGTATCGCAGCTTTTGCTTCGGGTAACCGTGCTTGTCCTCTTGTAAGAGATTTTCAACGGGCTGTCACCGTTAACAGTTTCAACACATACAGCAGTAAAACCCGGCGGAAAGAAGGACAACAAACAAGTAAAAGATCAGGAGGACGAGGGAAACAGGAAACGAGGACCCTCAGATTTAACATTCAGAGCATCCATCAGCTTCACGGCTGCCGACGGAAGACACCCGATCTTTTTTGTGGGGTTTGCAGGAGGTGAAACGATCATGACGAAAACGAATCAGCTGCACTAAATACTACTCGCGCTAGTCTGTCGACGCGTCTGTCTGTGTTCGCTACGCTACCCGAGGTTCACCGCTCTCCCGCGCACCCGTATGGTGCTTGAAATAAATGGCCTGGGAGAGACCAAAAGGCGGCAACAGGGAACGCACGGCCGAAGGCGACGCCACGACGTCCAACAACCGGGAAAAAAAAATGAACAAGAACAAGACAATTTTATGAACATCATATTCGCCAACTTCAAGGAAGGAAAAGCACTTGTGGTGAGGCCGACAAGCCCCACCACGCCCCACCCACCAAGTCTTCTGCTGGGCAAACGGACACTTACACGCGCACACGGCCCTTGCATGCAGCAGCAGCAGCAGCAGCAGCAGCAGCGCAGTGAACCCGCGTGCGTTCCTTCCTTCCAGCAAACAACACACACAAAAAAAGAGCCTACGCCAGGGGGTAAAAGACAGGCACAGGGCCACCGACCGCACAGACACAGAGGGTGCGTGTGTGTATATATAGCTAATACGTATGCCGACCGAAAACCCTACAAAAATCGGGAACTGGGGGTTCGAGAAGAGGGCTCCCGGAGCCCCCGGCAAGTATCGCTATAATGGACCAAGCGTGGAGACACTCGACGTACGCATCCTCCTGTCCGACTTCTCTTCGTCCCTCCTTTGCCCCTTCTTGCCCCCCGTCCTATGCAGATAAAAACAGTAACCACACGCACACAAGACAAAAACAATTTGCAATGAACACCTATCCTACAACTACCTCGGCTCTCCACGCGCAGCTAGCAACTGCCGAACAAGAGGCAGCAGCACTTCCTTCATGTCTAGAACGACGAGCGCAGGAATTATTTGTCCGCCCGACCCGGCCACCCAAACACGCATGTATCCCGTCGTTTCATACACCGCTCCTTGCGGGGTTCAACACCTACCTACGTACGCGCGTCTCTCCATCCGGCAAAGCAAAACACCCGCCCGGAAGATTACACGTCTCAAGTAGTCGGACACGACGAGTCCCTGTACTGTTAGGTGAACCCCGCCCAAGGGCTGTGTTCCGCCCGGCGGCAAAACAAACACCACCAGTCAGCTAAATAACAGCAGCCCATTCAGATTCTTCACCGGCGGGTCAGAAGAACGACTCAAACCGATTTTCTTCCCGTCTTCAAAGGTGGACGGACGGGGGCGGGTTCACCGGCGTTCCGGTAACCACAACGTTGTCGTCGTCGTCCCCACGCCGGCCCGCCGCCGCCGGCACCGCTGCCGTCGCGTCGTCGGGCAGCGCCTGGTACCCATCCGGGGCATCGCTGCCGCTGCCGCTGCCGCTGCCGCTACCGCCGCCACCGGCGCCGGCCCGCACCAGCTTCCTCAGCGCGCGGCCCAGCAGGAAGAACGGCAGCAGCAGGAGCGTGCAGGTGCCGATGAAGAAAAAGAAGGCCAGGATGCCCTCGACGGGGCCAATGTCCTCTCCGTCCAGGGAGTCCTCCAGCCACGCCCGCCCCCGGTTCTCCAGGTCCTCGGGGAGGCGGTTGCGGGAGCGGATGTGGTCGCGCCCCCCGTCAGGGCCGCGCTCCAGGGGGGCTCCGGGGAGCGGCCCGAGGCCGTGGGGGGGCGGGGGCGGCCCGTGGGGGTGGGGGTGCGAGGGGTCGTGGAAGAGCCCACTGTCCCGCTTTCCCACCATCATGGGCTCCCGAACGATGGCCTTTTCCACCAAAAAGGGCTCAGTTACAGGGCCTCCGCCGAAGAAAGGGCCGTCAACAGTGATCAAGACGTCCCCGTCGTCCGAGGACGAATCAGACGACGAGGAGGAGGAGGAGGAGGATTTCTCGTCGTTCGAGTCAGAGGACGAAGAATCGCCCATTATCCAGTCCACCAGGACCGAAAACATGGACGGCCTTGGGCCCTGCCGTTGCTGGCCGTGGTGCCTCGGCCCGGGGTGCTGCTCGCCGCCGGTGAAACGGGGTCCGCCGTGGTGTACCATACCGCCGCGCTTGGAGTCCATCCGGCCGGGAGGGCCTTCCCCGAAGCGCCCGTGGGGGTGGTGGTGGTGGTGGTGGGGGTGCCCGAGGTGCCCTCCCTCGGAGCTGCGGCC